ACGACCGAAATACTACTCCATAAAAATGTGATCCGGTAAACGTGTTTTTTACGCTCTCAGGTGTTAATTTATCGTCACAAGTAAAAAATTCCTATAATATCATCAAATTCAAACGGTTAAACAAAAGAGTGTTTGCGAAAACGACGTCAATAACATCCCCCCTAACATCGGGGACCTTAACGACCTCAGGAACATCCCCACTAACATCGGGGACCTTCGACCTTATAAGGACGGTCTTGACAGCCGAGGGCTCAGTTCGTCGCGAACTCCTGAACTGGGAGGATCGGAGAGGACCAGTAGACCCTCCTGAGCTCGCCTGGTGCTTCCTGGACTATCCTGGACTATCCTGGACTATCCTGGACTATCCTGGACTACCTTCGACCACCTTCGACCACCTTCGACCACCTTCGACCACCTTCGACCACCTTCGACCACCTTCGACCACCTTCGACCACCCTGGACCTCTCTGGGCATCAGTGGTCTACTGCTACCTTCACTCTGGGGCACTGGTGACCAGTACTACCACCGATCAGTAGAGAGTAATGCAGTTCCATGGTGGCCAGTACTGATGAATACCAATTGTCCTCGGCTCTTCCTAAGCTACGTACCGATTGCGAACAGCGATCGGTGAGTCGCATGCTCTTTCTTTTTAAATCCGGTCACCGATCATGTCGTAGGACGAATGCTCCGTAACGGCACCGATGACTGGTGGTACCATTTTAGTAGTTTTTGATTTTGTGAGTGCAGTGGCCTCGGTTATGCCTCTCGGGGCATACCCGAGAGTAGTAACATTTTTTGGTTTATTTATTAGATAGGATAGGGTTTTCTTGTACGTCGCGTTTAAAGTTAACTGCAAATATTAGCAACCATACTCTGACTTTTTATCGCATTACGAGTAGCATGACTTTACTTTGTAGTTTCGTATATAAGATATAAACAACCTTCAACATTGAATATTAAGATAATATGACTGAGAACTTAGTGGTACATTAATTGTATCAATAGGTTCGGTCTAATTCTCGATTCCTACATTTCGACTAAGATACAATCGATTGAAATGATTGACTATTCGCGTTAAAGTTCATTTAATCGCTGGAATATCATAGTAACTATCGTACAAGAAAACATTTCGCGGTGGGTAGGTCTCTGAATCGAAGCAACTACCTTGTAATACATTCTTCTGATATTAGAAACAGCTGCTTCGACAAAGGGATCACCTGAGGATTTTTGAAAATGTGTTAAAAGTTTAAAATAGATTCCTTCTTATTGAAATTTTACTTAAAGTCTCATTTCCATTAAATTTCAATTTCTCTTATTCTTTTTTTGCATATTACAATATTCATACATTAGTAGACTTACCATTTATAAAATTAGACAATTAAATTCTTAATTCTGAGTCAATTATAGTAATTGTTGAAAAGCAAAGAACTTTAGTCCGTCAGAAAAATTAGAAGCTAACATGATTTTATAGCTAGGATTTTCAGGATATTGTTTCCATGTTCCTTGCTCGATCTCTCTCACGTGCCCAGGTGCTACTTGGGAGGGCGAGAGCAATGGGCATGATGAAATTGTTATTATTTAAACATGTGAGCGATTGACAATGGTTAACGTATTATACACGACGTATTATCCACTTGTGTGTGTGTGTGTGGTTAGGAAGTGGAAATGCGTCGGACTTTATAATATCATGAATACTCTTTATACGTATATATTCCAGTTACTGTAAATGAAATAAATAAATTGTTTGTGGAATATATACACACATTTCCTTATTCTCTTACTCAGTAGAGTACAAATATTAACATATTAGAATACTTTGATCGTCCATACGTTACCAAACGACATAAAGAAGGGTAGAATTGTATTAATTTCAACGAATTGTTCGTGCCAAGTAAAATATTTTCTCAAAGATCGTTAGCCATTGCCAGTCGATTTCAGGAATTGATATACTAGAGTATGAATGTGGTTGTTAGTGAACGTCCCGGGACGTTCTCTCTAGGCGTTAGGTTCTTTCGCACTCAGGTGCATCAGAGACAATCGTGGAGTGATGTGTGTTTGTGAGAATGAGTCTCTTGCCCCTTTTTTAAATATAGCTATAGGTAGGCAGGTAGCATAATCTCTGGAATGAATGTTAGATTTAAGTAGGTAGGGGCCGGTGCTGGCCTTCGTTTCTGCACGATGGTCAGTTACCGGGGAACTTGAAAAATCAGTTCAAAGTTGATAGCAGAACGGAGCATGCCGTTTGCTGATCAATCTTGATCTCGACTTTTCAAGTTCCACATAGATACCGCGATCGCGATCGGTATTAGGCGCGAATAGGCGAAACGTTCGAACTTGCTCGATTGCACTGTCGAATGGTCAATGACCGATTCCGAGTCATTGGTCATTCGCTAGCGAGCAAGCTCAGGGTTTCAGAAATGGCGGACTGCCGAAGAAAAGAAGAGGCGTATGCCGAAGAGGCCCCGACAAAATGTCGCTCAAGAGGGCAACTATTAATGGCGCTCGATCTTAGCATGGAGATGGAGCGTCATTTTATGTTACTACTTTGTCACTGCACTCACTTTAGCTTCAGTAGAAATGGTGGTGGTAGTAGTAGAAGTAGTCGTAGATGTATCGGGCTGGCCATAGCCGCCCCAACGTCCAACAATGAGCATTTCGCGATTTTTAATTAGCGTTGCGAGACAAGCACTACGGTTTGAATTAGAGTTGCGAATGATATATTCGCGATTTCGATTAGAATTGATTTTTACACTTGTTTTTTCAAATTGCTTTAACGATAGCTTTGCGTATGACAAACATCGATCGTCTGATTTTAATATTACTGAATATAAAGCGCAATTATATTAACTAGCACGTAGTTCTTTCTATTTTAAAGTAGCGTTGCGAATAATTGAATAAACGCGTTTGATAAAACATAATTTATTCAATACTATGTTCATTTATTAAAGTAGCGTCACAATATCAATACATCGCGTTCTTCTTAGTGTCGCGACAATGATTTTTCGCGTTGACTTAGAGTTGCGTTATATTAAATGCTCAATAATATGCTGGAACCATAAGAACCAAAACGCAGTTTGCGGTACTGCGAACAGTGGTTCTTTGCAGTCAAAACGGCTGCTCCGTGTTCTCAAATGTAGCGTTGCGTATAATGAAACAGGTGCACGCGAGTTATTCACTTCATATTAAACAAATTAGAGTTGCGATTGATACTGACACCCTCGCGTAGTTATTTTATTATATTTCTAAAGCAGCGTTGCGATTAATCATACACTTTTCGCGTATCTTATTGAGATCTTTGAATATTACATTATTTAATGCAGCGAACAGTAACGCACCTCTCGCGTTTATTATTGAAATATTTGTAAACTTTGTAAATTAGTGTCGCGAATGAATTAGTCCACTCTCGGGATTTTGATAGCACGTGATATACAGAGTGGACAGTCCCAATTTTTAAACATACCTCCTTCTATTCAAATTCATGTAATTGATCAAAATTTACTATGTAATGAAGTAAGTTTCTGTTGCAGAAATACTTGAGAGGAATATGGGATGATATTCTACGGGGAAAATGGTATACTTTCATTTTTATTTAAGGTAACTGTAAAAATTGTACCCCATATTCTAGACTACATTTCTTAAATTATATTCATCTACTAATCCAATAAGGCAGTTTCTGTTGCAGAAAGAACTGAGAGGGATAGAAGATGGCATTCTGTGAAGGTAGAAGCTGCAGCCATTTAACATGGAACCCTCCTGTTGGAAGAGTACATCATGTCTATGGGATCCATCTAATGGGATCCCGTCCGCGAAATGGGATCCCGTCTTTGGGATCTTAAATTTCTCTAATCCTAGGCTCATCTCCATTAATATTATTTTCGTTGAAAAACAATCACATTGTAATAATTTTTGTTACAGGTGGCAACATGTGTTACTACACAAACACTCTTTAATTTTCTAATTTAAATTTACTTGTTTCAGCTGTAACTCTAATCTACTTTTAATCTAATTTCAGTCTAGTTTTACTCTAATCTTAATATAATTTTACTTTAACATTGGCACACTAATTTATTCATAATACAATTTTTATTTAATGTTGTTGCAGCTCATTTACAATTAACCATTTTACAAATATGTTGGTTTTGTTTTCCAGTACAGGTTCAAGAAACAGTGTATCATTAAATTTGATAGTTCTAAGTGCGCTAATGATAAGTTTCAGAATTAAGGCCGGAGGTCGATGGAATTAAAGCTCGGGACTGTGGTCTGGCTGGTTTGATCATGGTTTGCTCGCGTCACCCTCTCCCGCTCCCTTTGCTTCTTGTTCCGATAATTGCTCGGCATATCTGCGACCAATGCGTAGTCTTATAAGGCGAAACTATGTTAGAATCGAGATTGTATCCCCTCATTTTGCGCCTGCTGAATCAGAGACTTCTTCTCTGATTCGCCTGATGCGGGAATCAAGGACTTCTTCCTTGATTCACTCCCTATACTGCGATGATTGTGTAATAAAACTTATGCGTCGCGACTGAACTGCGTTAGAATTAAGCGTGCGAAAGAAGACGTCGATCGTCCGCCGTGGGATACATCGTTTCATTTACTAATTACGCTGTATTAATCCCATATTACTAATTATTTCTATGTATTCCTTCATTTCAGTACAGACTCAAGAAAGAAGACAGCCGCCGAGGGATTATTATTAAGTGCGATACCTATAAGTGCGTTTAAAATAAGATGTAGAATTAGAATGGGAGGTCGGTGGAATTGTATTTTCCACCCACCTCCCAGGGTCTCCTCGCAGCAACCTCCACGTGGTGAGACCTGGGCAATCGGTGTTATTCTTAATACGGTATCAAAATATGGAGAATAATGCCGAGCTAATGGCTGCGAATGTAAGATTCGGTTTATGTCTGTTGTACGATGTAATGCAAGATCGAATATCTTAGAATAATGTTCTATCTTACATGGTGGTGATGATATACGGTGTTTCGGAAGGGTAGAAATGAAATTCGTGTTTTTATTACTTTATTCGCTTGTATTTAACTGTTACAATACATTGATAGAATTTATTATTATAATAAATGCTTGAAGTTTACAGGTCTTAATAATAAGTAAACTCAAGTGAGTGGATTGAATTCCTTTTATTTCAATTTTTCAAAACTATGGTTCTTTTAAACTATAGTAAGACATATTCCTGCAATGGAACATTTATTATGTATCGATACATAAAAGATGTTTTTTTTTCAAAATATCTTTATTACAATACATCGAGATGAAGATTTTCAGTAAACATTATATATTAACATCTAATTGAAAGTTGTCAAAAAACTTTTTGCTATACCAGAATTTCACTGAGTTAATACTTTTTACTTCCCCTGTCAAAAGATTTGCTGACGTTTTTGGCTACTATTTTCCACAATACTCTGCTGGAATGTTAGAAATACTTAAGTATCATCACGTAGCGATCACGTACATTAGATAAGTTTCTAAATATGTTTCAATGAGTTTGAAGCTTGAATAGTTTATATAAATACATTGTTAGGTATACGATTTCAATTACAAATAACATTAAAATAAAAGTGAGTAAGACCAAAAGAAAAAAGAATATATCTCTTTCATAATATTTGCATGATCTGTGCTGCACCAGCAACAGGGAAAAATAAAAGTACAATGTTCCGAAATAAAACTACCACATAATTCATTAAATTCTCCCTAAATTGATCTCTCGACATCTCTCGATTTCTGACAGGTAACTGCATCGCTACGTAATCGAAACATCTTCGGTTTCCTATTTCTCAGCATCAGGCTGCTGCTCTGTTATCAAAAGATTTTCTAACTTCCCAAGAAAATGTTGCAGATTCCTTTGTAGCAGTTTATTTTCATCGCTGAGTTTTGAGCGAAGGAAATTAGCTACGATCACTTTACTCTTTAGGTCGTTCAGCTGCGACGACACATTCTTCATCTCGCTTTCTGTTCTTGATCTTTCTTGCAGTTCTGTGGCCAGCAATGCTTTGTTATCCATCCACTCTTTCATTAATTTAGTGTTAGAATCAATTATATCCAGTAATTGTCCTTCCAGGATACGCAAGTTCTTCTTCTTCAAAATAGGTTCTCTTTTCGTGTTCTTGATCCGTTTTAATTGGTTCGATCTTTCTCGAATTCTTGGAAATCTCTTGAACGGATAATTTTTTGATAGAGTATTCCGGTTATGTTTACTCTGAAACAATAATGAAATGCGTACTTTATTAAATTTCATAGAACGTATGCCACATATATTCATTTATTTCCAAGTAAATAAAATTCCAACTCAATATTCAGATACCGAAGAAACATACCGATGCATTTAACAATTGCTTCGCATTCCTAGATGCAGATCCTCGGATATTATTTTTCTGAAACATCTGCTTAATGGACGCTTTCTTCCAGTTTACGAAACACCGTTTCTTCAATAGTTTATCCTCCACCGTCTCCTGCCTCTTCTTCAAAATCTTCCGAAGTACTTGGAAAGTATTGATAGGAATACGATTCTGAGTAAGGTCTACCTTTTTCAGAACACTGTTCGATTGCAAAACATTAATTATATTCTCCGCGCCCTGTTTCGTTATTCCGCAGTGTCTAAAACTCAATGACTTCAACCAACAATCGAATTTCACTGCGTACATTAACTGGTGCACGCCATTGTCGCCAAATTTTGGATTTTGATTTAAAATTAATTTCTGCAGCCCTTGGACCTGAAACAAGAACAATCATTCACGTTAATCAACGATACACAAAGCATAATTAAAACAAAAATGACAAGGAATTAGAAACAAACTATAGTTTTAGAACTACCGAGCATTTGATACGATTGAAATGTAATCAGACATTCATTTTTTCAGACATTCATTATAGTAATCAAGTGAAACTATTTTCAAAATCATTTCGAATATTCAATGCTTTGAAGATACCAATAATTACGAAACTCAAAAACTGAAACCAGTCATTTTAACCGGTACGTAGTTCTAGCGTTAATTACCGATTCATATTACAACATAAAGTGAAACTTCACAATTTCCCAAAATTCTCAAAAGAAACAGTCTAGAAGATTTACCTTCCCAGCAGAATGGTACTCTCTCGTCTCCGCAGATGTCTCCACCCACACGTTCTGCAGCAAGTCAGCTCCCCTCCTTTTCAAGAACAGGTACAGGCTCATGGCGCTCCTCCTGGTCAATCGACACCCCGACAGGTTCAGGATGCAGAGGTTCGGATTGTTCCCCAGACTCTCCAGCACGCTGTTGCAACCTATATAATAAAAATATAACGTAACTAAAAAAGACTTCATAAGAAACGAACACGCGAGAAACATATACAAGGAACATAGAGACGAGAAGAAACGTGGTCAAAATACATTAGACACCCTAAATCATACAACGAAGTTAATCTAAAAATTAAAAAAAGTAAACGTACGTTTAAAGCTTGAACATAATACTAACCGACGTCACCTATACGACATCTCGTTAACGACAGGTGTGTCAGCGTCTCGTTGTTCCTCAGACCCAAGCAAAGGATGTTCAGGTATCTGGACGACAGCGGGATCCCGTCGATCGTGATCGAAGTGATCCTCGCATCCCTCGCGCAGACGGCCATCGCGTCGACGAGGCAGCGCAGCAGGATGTTCGTGTACACGATCGGCCATGCTCGATCCTTCCCACATCGCCTGGACGATCGAAACTCTCGTGTTCTTCCACTTTCTTTGACAGCGTGATGTTTACGGTCTGTCCCAGTTTATCTTTGCTACCAGTCCGCGATCTCCCTTCTCTCTCATCCATCGGTCCAGACAATCCGATCTGCAAGCTTAAACTTTCCGCGAGTAGTATCCGAAAGGCGAACATGGGGAAGTTCTTTTTTTTTGTGAGAGAGTAATTTATATATTTGAGATAATTAAACCGTGTATGTAGAAATTTTGACGATAATTTGTTAGATACGAAGAACTCAGATGTAACAGGTGTAACTGGATTATGATTTGTGGAGGAACTGGTGAGATTTTGTCGATTTAGATGCATTAATATCGTGTTACATGAAAGGTTGTCATAGAGTATTAAATTGTTGCACATAAAATGCAATTTTGTCGACAGGTTCGGTGTTACTTCTATGGAAGGGAATTATTAATGGAGATAGCTGTTACAAGTAATTAGAAATAAATGATTCAACTATTTCCTTCGGATGTACTAGAACGGAAACTTGAATCGAAGCTTTCAATGGAGCGTTGCAAGACTTTATTCAATTTTCTGATAGATAATACACAATAAGGAAAGCATTTTATAAAACATGAGAAATTAAAAATTACGAACTAACGAACGGGTGAAGAATCATTTGAATTTTGGAATCAGCTTTCTCATGCGCAACAATCTAATGAATGTTTCAATTAACGGAAAGGGTGCTAAAGTTTAAGCTTGGGGAAGCAACACATTCAAAAGTCCCTTCTCCTAGTCGCTTCTCATGGAATTATTTTCGTTTTCAGAAGCTGCTCGGTAGCTATAGAATTTACACTCGCGCGATTTTGTTCTAACGTAAAGACGTAATATGATTTTCTTCTCGAGTGTCGTATTCGCTAATTAATATTAAAATTCGAACGAATCTATAGGTCTCTGCAAGCAATTACCATAAATGTTCTAGCTTCTCTTCGGTATTTACTTTCTCTCGTATCTTTCGGCAGTTACTGCGACTGTACACATTGATTTTTAATAGACTCCGATTCTCAGCGATACTGTTCAAAATGGACGACCAATGTTTTAGATCCACACGGTCCACGCACAAACGCAAAGATCTTCCTTTAAAGCGAGCTGGTATGGCAGGCACAGGTTTTACTGACTTTTGCGCGCGGAGAACCTTGTTAGAAAATGCTGTTATTGTGCAGCGAGTTTTGGAAACGCTAAATCTTTGGTGGAATCATACGCAAGATTATTCGCTAGAATCAGAAGCACATTTAAACGATCAAAAAGGTCCGCTAAGGTGTCTTCCTACTCTAGGGACCTGGAAAGATCCAATTTCATTTTCCTCGATTTTGTAAAGTATGTAGAATAGATCTGCTGGATTTTCTGAAGTCTCTAAAAATGTACTTGCGAGACTTTGAACAATAAAATGTTAATCAGAGACCTGAAATTTATTTCTTTTTAATGTAGATCTTAGATGGTGTATCAATATTGCAAATGCTACTCTATAGTTCATTACTAGAGGTAAGGAAATTCACAAAGTATTGAACGCAATTTTTCAAGTTATTTTTTATTTAATTACGTTTTTGATTTTATTCGAATTGTGAAAAATGTCTCTTTCTATATCAACGTTTTAATTGTCCTCTACGAATTTGGCAATTCAATTTAATCGATTATCATGGAAATTGAAATTCTACATTATTAATGTGTACATTTTCTTCTGAGTACTAAAGTAGGAAGACGAAAATACTAATAAGTATCATGCTGCATTAATTAACCATCACATTATACAGTTATAAATTTTTGTTTAAAAATAAGAAATGTGATTACGGTTAGACACTACACTAATACTGATTATAGTAAGTGCGTTCTAGGCAGAATCGAGAACTGTACAATATAGCATAAAATTGTAGGGATTTTGGGAAAATTAGAGGCTCAAATAATTAGAATAAACTATAATAAATTCGGAAATAATATACATGTACAGAATCAGAGAAATTTTAAACTATGTTATTGTAGGTATAATTTCTGATATTTCATTGTTGACGAACCTTATATAACCAACCAAACTGTCTGTGACTTTTTTTCCTGGTATCTTTGATATTTCGCATTGTCATTTTTCAAGTTTCGTGTACCGTGCTCATCGATCCTTCGACTTATCAGATTTCATCGCTCGGCGAAACGTTTGTACGTAATGTAAATAATACAAATAAAAATTCAAAACATCACGTTACATTAAAATACATCGAAAATTGACACTCTCAGATTACTGGAAACGTGAGAGAACATTTGACTACTGTTTCCTTCTCGGTCGATACTTCGTGCTACTGGAAAATTCAATTCGATGGACGCTACTCGATTATTGATACCCTTCGTAAATTATGTTTTCCTGGAACAGTCGAAAATTCTCAACAAAAAGACACACTAACATTCGTCGTAAAATATTTCAGTGTGTCAATAATGCATCAAGTATTTACATAGAAATCAATATCACATTAAAATAATTATATTTTTAAATACAGATAAATTGACATTTGTTATTTAAGAGTAGATAATGCAAACTTACTGTCTGTTGCTATTTTATATTTCATCGTATTAGAAAATGCCGAGCGAAGATAACCACGATTTATAAACGTGAAATTTTACTGCAATTTTTTTGTAAAGTCTATGTGTCCTCCATCATTGATTAATTTTTCCTCAATCAACAAATATTTCCTCTTTATTTAATTTTTCCTCCTTAATCAACAAATATTTCGTCTTTATTTGTTAGTATATTTATTCGCTCAAAAATCTCGCTACTTTTAGTTTAAGAATACACAAACGTCACGTGTTCCTGGGTAAGTATCTTTTTCAGAGTACCTAATTCGAATTCTTAAAACATTATCATCAATTCCTGAAATCTAATTAGTGAATTGGAAGTCCCTAAAATGAACGGTTCTCAAAGATAGGTAGTACTGGATTAATATGCAATCTTAAATTCATACCTCGATTATCGATGCTTAATCGTTTAACTTATACATAAATTGTTTAATTTAAAATTATCATAATACATTTGAAATGTGGGGTCAGTGTTTAAAAATAGTTCAATGTTGACTTACTTCCTTCTATTGTTACAATCTTAGAGACAAAATCGAAAACAATGGGCGCTAAACATTATCCGTTCATCAAATGATAAATCGTGTCATTAATTTTACCAGAATTTACATTTTCAATTCGGTTTTCAATTTCTTTTCTTCGTATGTTCTTTACAACAATAATACAGGTTTCATTCTTAATTTATATTACAAGTTTTTCAAGTTTTCCTTTTTACATTATACTTGCTAAATATTCTTATTAATGCTATGACCGCCATACTGATTCCATCGAGCGCAATAAATTTTATTAAAATTAAATTGTTAAGTAATTCCCTGCGAATTCAGAATCGAAATTATGTACATACGTATTTACGAAGGTGGACAATAAAATGCTTTAATAATGTTAATGTTATGAACGAAACTTACAATCAGAAATCGAGGAACAAGCGGCGATTATTATAAATAGTCGTGGATGTATTTTTCTTTTTAAGGTCTCCCAAAATGCAAAAAACTTTATTTTTCCCAATTTGAATTCTGGCAGAACTGAATTTCCTTTCTCATTTGCAAATCAATTTTAACCTTTACGAAATAATCGTCGTACAATGTTTCAAAATTGTTGCCAAGCCACTTCAAGTTGTTGTGATCCCACAGATTTATAAAATAAATTTTCCTCTGTTTATTACTTTTTATGGCTGCATTTAATATTTCCAGAAAAATATGGACGCGACACATTTCTTATTTAAATAAGGGGAATGACAAGAAGTATTTTTAGGTTTTTTTTAGCAGCTTTATTTGTTTGCTGAGCTTCGACTCACATTTAAACATTTTAAATACTGAATTAATATCCTTGTTTTTCGTATACTTGTTCTTCGATGATGTTTCAGAAATCTTCGAAAGTTGTTCGTCAATAGTATCCTGATCGTTAGTGTTCTTTGTTATTAATGATATAGTATTAGAAGTATTACAGTTTATTCGATCTATTTTTATATTTCAAATCTTTTAAAAGTTTAAATTAGAAACTCAAAAGTTTGAGATTAATCAAATGCGAACATCAGTTCCAAAGTTTCAAATTATTTAATTCGCAATTTCTGATTTGCATTGCGATTTTACCTTTTCAATCCTGGCCCTTATCCAACTTCCCACCCAAAAAACGAACGAATGAAATTAATAAAATAATATTCAATAATTTCACAAACCTGTTAGTTCCATGGGTCACCAAAGTTATACATACACATGTCCATACGATTCCTTTCACTGTTTGACTGTTAAAAACTCATGAAATATCCATTGCAGATCTACCATAAATAATCACGTACTAGGAGCAGTGTTTCAATTTTAAGAGTAAAAATACACGCGTGCAACATTTTACCGTGTGCATCTGGAGTAATTTAGCATTGAATAGATGTGTAACACAAAATTTCCTGTAAGACGCGCTTAGAGGCACAATTACAAGCGCACGATAAGCTCACACACAGACGAAAGTAATTTACGCCAAAGAAACAGAAGCGCCTCTACACAAATAATCGCTTTGTATCACCGCGGCCTGTGCAAACTGGCAATTAAAATTGTTAGATCTTCCTTGTATTTGCCACGAGCAAATTCTAGATATCTCCTATTCTCTTTGACTATCACCGAGCGTACATTCTCGCTTTCACAAAGGTCGCCTTTCATTAAAGACATTCATTTTACACGCCGAATTCGTGAATTTTCGTAAGTTGCTTCGAATTCGAGAATAACGAATAGTTTCTTTTAACTATTCTGTTTGCAGCTACGTTCGCACGTTTCGAATCACTATGATTTCACAACATCATCAAATTTCGAGTTAATAATGATTCTGATCTGAAATGATGATTATTCGTTAAAGCAGGCAAGATCATTCTTCCTATTACAAATTGAATTTCAAATAGAACTTACCATATCTAATGTTTTAAATATGTTTAAAATTGTTCAAACATTCAAGATTCAAACATTTTAGATTACCAAATATTCTGACTCCTATATACTGTTGGATATTCGAATATTTAATTGTTTGAGCAATTAATTATCAGCAATTCTCAAGCTTAAGCCTTTCAATGTTACGAGCTTCTGCGTGTTGCATTATTTTTGTATTGTTTCGGCCATAAAAATTTGTCTGTATGGAAAGAGGCTAAGAGGTTCTACAATTTCTGTGCTGACTTTTGATTTCGTTGGTTCCTCGAAAATAACCGGGTCCCGACGTGCAAACTGCGCGCTGATCGCAATTCAGTGAGCATACCGTGTTATTAGCCTTTCAAATCGAATAATACTCTCAAGGAGATCCTCCTGAATGTTTCATAACTTGTTGTTCGGTATCGAAGTGCAAACTTATCACACGTCGTTGCGCCTCGTTGTCTCGATTACGATTATTCCCAGAAAGTATACGGTACAATCACGACGAAATTATATCACTGCTGCGAATTGTATCGAATTGATGCTAAAAGATTCCGAGTAATTCGAAACATTGTCATAATTTCTACCAAGCAGCAGCCATCAATATTAACCGCAATTCTCACAGGCATCGTAACTCTCCTTTTTCTCTTTCCACGTAGTTCTATTTGGAAATTCTTTACAAACTCATACGAACACTTTGCCTAAAACTAAGCAAACATGCTTAGTCAGATTTGCCACAATAACAAGCCGCAGTGAGCATCGTAATTTCGATAATCATGAAAACGTACGAGCAGAATCATATTCTTCTACTATTTTCAATTCTGAAAGTATCCTTCGCAAAACGAGAACGCGACAAGTAAACAATCGAGAAACTCGAAAAAGTCAATCAAACCGGCGTGAACATTAAATTCACAGAATCCGTAAATTTGACGGATATTCAATGTTACGATCATTATTCGGTAAAAGTCGATTAACAATTGATGCAACTATACGAACGCATATTCCAATCATCAGTTCCTCAATGTCCAAGAGAATATAAAATGAACATTGATTTTTCTGGGAATAATACAACGAAGCATACAATGAACTATACCATGAATCTACACAGTTAAGGAAACGGAAAGACGATTGGATCAGAAAAGGTCCGAGAAACTGGGGTTAAAATAACGCGTTACCGAATCGCTGAAAGCTCGAAGATACGCGGCGCGAATTTTGTTTTATGTTTATCGGTACCCTCGGAAAACGATCGGCGCTCTCCCAGTGCAAATAAAATATTTGGCGAGGCGATCGGAGAAGGAAGTGGGGCGCGACCGGTGGCATCAACACGTCGCCCCGCGTCGTCCTCGCGAAATCGGAAACTTTAGTCAGTGGTTTCGAGGCCAGCATGCCATCTACAACTGGGTCTAGCTTTATTAAAACATCGCGCACATCTCGGAGCACCGTGTCGCCTAACAATGGATCGACAGTCGCGCGACTGTGCGTCGGTCCGTCGGTGAAAATATCGTCGATTCGTCCTGTTGTCGCTCGAACGCGACCATCGAACTGTCTCACCCTGTCAGTGCAGTGATCTTCCGAAGGGAAACCGGTACACGGATCACGGATCGGGGATTTTTCGATCGCGCGAGGCCACTTTGTCTAAATGGTAATATAAATGGTAATACATCGAATCTCTGGGGACATCGATTAACCCTTTGCAATCCTACGTTAGACTCGGTGTTCAATTTATTCCATTACAATGCTAACCGTTTTACCTATGGATACTTCGAGAGCTTTGTTATCGAAATTCTGAAGCTTCAAATGAATAATTTAGTTATTCGAATAACGAGGATTGATGTAAGGATTGATAACTCAGCTTTTTGATGGAAAAGGTTCTCCAGAGTTTCAAGAATTTGAAAGGGTTGAACTAGACTGGACGTTCAAGTTAGTTGAAGTAGTTGAAGTTTTGCTACAATTATTATGTAAGTAGAATTTCGGTGCTTTTCGAATGTGCTCTGAATGGTTAAAATGGTATATTGAACTGTACTTGACTTGAGCATTGATGCAAGTGCTAGAGTGACAACTTTTCGGAGCGCAAAGGGTTAAAACTACGGCATTCGACTACTAGCATTCGACGAATGATTAAAATACAGCAATTTTCACGAGTCTAGTCGTGAGATGAATTATAAGGAAAGAAAATGAAGAGGATGGAGTTTTATTAAGAATGATATGCTTCAGGATATTAGAGGTTGCTGAAAGAATCATTGTGGTTTTTTGTGGTTTCTTGTTGTTAATTGTTGTCCAAACTCTGGAAGAAATTGTTACGATAGTTGTGCAATATTCGTATCTAACGATATCGATGCATTAACTTCTTGACGGGAAACGAGTCTTGCGTTCTAACATTCTCTGCGTCAGATTCAATGTTAACTACTTCTAATTAGCATACCGCCAAGCGAAATGGTTTACATACTTAGAGAACTAAATTCGATAAAAACTGAAATATTTTAATTGAAGTAGTAAAATAATTCTTACTCAAACATTCAAATCAATGAGTTAAGAAGTCATGAGGCAAGGGATTAATAAAGCGACTTGCATGCTCAATTCCTCCAAACAATTACGATTTTCTAAGTCCATCCAAGATCCGTCTAAATTATCTCTTGAAACAGATGGCCTGTCTAACACAATCTGAACGATTTTCTCTTGATCAACACAATGATGTCTCGAAAGTTGCTCCGGTTTCTCGAAGGGATCTTGATGTTTCACTGACAGGTTCGGATGAGCGTTTATGATCGATTGATAGTGGCGTGTTGACATTTCTCTACTCGTTTCTGCTGGTATCGGAGCATCAACGATAGGCGTACGCAATGACGCGTGTTTACAGTCGAGTTTCGTGTAATCTTGGATACGTCGTTCAAGGCGAGCAGAGAAATTCCGCGTGAAACGCGGGGGACGGGCCGGTTCTATCCAGTGAACTTGAGGAAGCGGAGGAGGAGCCGGCGGTTCCTCCGGAGAATACCGAGTTTCAGATACGACGTAAGGCTTTTTGAATTACGCGGAGACACACATTCACAGCCGAGCACGATAAGATAAAGCGAATGACGGAGGTGCGTCGTGGAGCTGAACGCGTGCCTTGCAATTTCCAATCTTTCGTGTGTATGCTCCACCGATGAAAACGTGTTGTACCACTTTGCCAATTTATTTCTCTCTTGATTAAAAGCTTCCGTCGACTTTCGATGATGAATAATATTTTAAACTACGAACTTATATTATTAATTCATATTATAAAGCAATACAATGCAATTAATTCAAAATTTATTCAATTCTGAAAAAGTGCAATAAGAATTTCATATTCTTGTTAGTGTATTGCATTTCTATATTCGAAGTAGATTGGTGTCTGAAAATTTGGAATTTGTTACTTAGCGAACTTGCACTTTTAATGGGAAAGATATGAGAATTTTTATATAATTTCTTACTTTGCTACAATCGGCTGTAAGTACCCTTGAAATTGGAACATTCATAAATGCCAAGAATCGTTACCCTTAATTCAATTAAGTGCTTTTTCAAATTTTTAAATAATTCTGCTTCCTTTTCTTTGAACGGTGTTTCTTTTAGACTAAATGTCAACACTACCGATAATATTGTAAATGTTTAAATTACTTCTCTAGTTGCTCCAGTTTACTGTCTCATTTACGAAATGATTCCAAACTCTTGGTCGGTAATGTAGGGAACCATGCGAATGTAACCTTGCAGGCGTTGAAATCTCCTACCAGGATCCTTAATGAAAAAGCTGATAAAATCTAACAGTTCTTTTTATGCATACGTCCTTTCACATTGCCCCATCAATGGTATCGTATATTGTCATTTTACAGTATGCAAATCGAATTCATCGTGTAGGGCTGCAACGAGTGCAGGATATAATTTTTACGCCGGTACCACGTACCGGGATCGATTTACAAATAATACCTCGTGATTTCTCGGCAGCCAACAGGACTGCGACATTCGAGAATATTTATAACTTCGCGTTATGGTTGTCACTGATCGTGTCTCTTCCTCGCAAGGAATGCTTCCTGCACCAACATGTGCACTCTCTGAAACTCGTCTAGATGACATTGAAACGGGACGTTCAACTTTTTCGCGACACACGGGAGATATACTACCGTTCATGAATATTTAAATTATTATAACTTATTTCTTCAATATATATGAGATAATTGTATCGATCGTTTCATGAATATTTGAATGAATATTCGAATAATTATTTCTCCCAACAAAATAGGAAACAATTGTGTCGATTCTTTTAGTTGGTAGATATTTTTGTAGAAAGTACTTTTATACGAATATTTGTTTTTCGAATTGTGCGATATTTAATACCGAATAGAACACCAAATGTTCTAAACACGAGAAGTCTATGTTTTAACACCGCGTTTGAAAAGATAGGGCCTAACGAGGTAATGCAACTTGGATGATTAAACATATGAGTTTCGAACGTTTGTGTGGATGAAAGAGTAAATGGTGATTTTTCTATCATTAGAATGTAACTTGTTTTTATATTTCTTTAGACCCCCTTTATTAATTTGCAATTCTAAATATGTAGAGCATGCGAGCATGTGTACACAAACGTAATCAAAACGAGTCAACGATTAGTTGATTGCATCTAATTCATTCAAGAAGTTCTGTTCCAAATTTCCTTTATTCCAATTAGAAATTGTCAACGATCAGCGTTCGTTCCTTAGCGTCAACATCCAAAAAGAAAATGCAATAACAGTAACATGAATAAATAGAACACAACCTGTCGATAGTAAATAATTGACGATCGAACCACAGAAACGAACCTTCTTTACCGATTTTAATAATTTTAATAAGGAAATTCTGTAACATTGAATTTTTGTACAGAACCAAAGTCGACGAACTTTCGACTATGTGGAAGTGGACTGAAGGATTCCATGGGAAGTGAAACCTTGCTTCAAGAATGGGATGCAAGTCTAGTGTGCTGGAGTGCTTAGAGGACAAAGGGGATGCCGAAAAGAGCAAGTCGCTGGAAACACTAGCCGAAGAACATCGTATCAATGGCGGTAAGTTTGTTACTAATGCACGATAGTTTGTTGCTAAATGCATGAAACTTTAAGGTCTTAATTTAAGTCCAAAACTTTGGAACTATTTAAAATCCTGCTACTTCTTTATAACTTTAAAGTAATTTTCACTCTGAAATCAATGATATATTTCAATGACCGTAATTTTTTTCTATTACATTCGCCAACATTCTACCAGTGTTTATTATTATATTAATTTACTAGTTTACTAGTTTCTCGAATGTATTATTTCGGTAAAAAGTGAAAAGAGTATCGACACAGTTAAAACCTAACCTCGTCAATTATTAATATTCCAACTTCATTATTTCATTCTAATATATTCATCGAATAAGTTCAATCACATTCTCCCTGACCTCTCATTCTGCAACAGAACCATTCATCATATTTTCTGATCAACATTTTCATCTCATAAATAATTCACAACCGTAAAGATCACGCATCTCGCTGATACAACGTACCAATCCCTCGAGTCAAATTATAATTCACGATCAAAGACACTGTACTCAGAATCTGCTTCTATCTTTCTCTCTGGCAATCAAACATTCTAACTTTTCATCTCGTTAAAAGACAATACAACATCACAAAAATAATTTTCATTGCATACATCTCTTACATTCCGAATCACTGTTTATTAACTTCCTTTAGATCACTCTCCACCACACATTTAACAATTTCTCTCCACTTTCAACTTCATCCAAACTTTACACGTATCAATTTCCTATAAATCAAGCATTCTCCTTGTGCATCAATCTTTTCTTGCCAATTATTCAATCTCTTCCGATCAAAGTTTCATTTAATTCAATAAAAATAGCGCCTCATTTTACATATTTTACTCTTGAAATTTAAATTTATATAGAAAAAATATATATATAATATGTGCAAAATGGAGCTATTAACGGTTATTATCATTCCAACAGGTTCTGAATTTGATATATTAACTTCGAGACATGTTGTAATTCGAACTCCCGAATTCTTTTTTAAAACCGGGAAAAGTAATGCGCGTTGCAGTGTATGGCAGATCTGAAGGGGTTTAATATAAACAGGTCCACTAACACGTGTTCTCTCAATAAAAATTTTGCATACAAGTTTCACATCGCCGCTCTGTCAACTGGCCCGACAGTCTTTTAAAAACCATCCGCAGTATCGGACCGAATCGTTTCCACGTAATGAGCCTCTCGTAAATCTGATATTCAACTACACAGTCAAAAATTATACACACCGGGTGCATGGATAGCGCACTTTAAATTTTCTTTTCCTTTTCTCGAGATCCGATACACGTCTCGCGGTAAGTAGGCATGATATCATTATGGAAATATTTCTCGATCGGCTTCTGTCCCGATTATGATGAGAATTATCGTTTACGATCTCCGGGGAATGAACCAGTGAACAGTATGAATCGATCGGATCAGTTTGAACATATTTAAATGTACACCGATTAACAGTAGCACCGATATATATCTTGTGTATTGTTTCCTTACATACGAGCATACTTTCTATTCTCCTTACATTATTAAAACTGTGGCTTGAGAAGAACAAATTTTCCTGGATATACACAAAAACGACTTCTAATGTGTTTTAACTAGATACCGGAGTATCTTATAACTAAAATACTAACATCTAACGTCAAGGGATACATCGACATAGTGTTTAAATTATTTTCTAGTTAATACAATTTTTAAGAATAAAGTTCAACTTGCAACTTGTTTACTCAATTATACATCAATAAGAGCACCTTTGTTACATTATTTTACGTATTCTATCAAGATCCATTATTTTACATATTCTACTACAATTTAATTCATTAATCACTTCACGTATTGTATCAAGATAAAATTCATTATTCACTTTACATATACTATCAAGATATAATTCATTATTCCACTTTACATATACTATCAAGATATAATTCATTATTCACTTTACATATACTATCAAGATTTAATTCATCATTCACTTTACATATACTATCAAGATTTAATTCATCATTCACTTTACATATACTATCAAGATTTAATTCATCATTCACTTTACATGTACTATCAAGATTCAATCCACTGTTCGTTTCACATATTACATCAAAATTGATTTCATTATCCATTTTATGTATTCCATTAAGATTTATTCAACTCTTACTCTACAAAGAACCTATCTATCAGCAAACTCTTACGTGACTAAATATACAAAGTAACACTAAACTAGTATGAAAATTATGTTGTACATTATTTATCATGAGCAATGATACGTGATGTATGATGCACGTTCGAACATGTTCAAAGCTGACCACCCGCGAACCGGTCGTACTCCCGCCGAAGCGAGAAAGCGGATTCTTTGTATTTCGCCCAGCAGGCATTAATCGAGTAGTAAAAATAAATTGCAACCGGCCTGGGGCGTAGCTGCGTCACTGATGCGTACGTTTTCGCGAAGGAGAGTACACATCGGGCAAACACTGATTCTCCTTGACCTAGTCTACGGCTCTGACCGCGCCGTGGTAGACTTCATTCGAGCGAATTGTCCGCGACGTGAATTAATCCGGCGAGCGAGCGAGCGAGCGTGTGTGTGGCGTTTGTGCTTTTTAAAAACCGAACGGCCAACTCTATCGGCCCTCGGATCGAACGGTTCAAACGGAACGTCGCGAATTGGCTCATTATGCGTCTAAGAGATATCCTGCCGTCAAGGACCAATAGAAGCAGCAGTTACTTGGCCCCAGGGAATTTTTAATGAGGCCATGAAGAATCTATGGACCTATTCGAAAATATTTTTTTTATTTTACGGCCGTGATCGGAAATGCTCGTTTTATTCATGAATCTATTCGAAAATTTTTTTATCGACGGATCCATTCGAAAATATTTTTAATCGATCGATATCCATTCGAAAGTAATTTTTTAATTGATAGATCCATTCGAAAATTTTTGTTTAGTTTATAAATATTCTTTTCTCTTCATAGGTGTCTTTTTAATTTGATAAATAACATCCTTTCTCGAGTGTGCGTTTGCAAGGAACTGTTTTTCGTACTCGTGTATGATTCGATACTCGAAGTTTGTAATTCTGATAAAATGTAACATGAATGTGAGGTAGATATCTAAAATTTATAGCTTAAATTGATTAAAAAGGAATTTCCTCTCTTTCTCTATAGTCATTACTTATGAATATGTAACTTTAGGAATTGCTGACTTGCTTAATTTTGAAACTTCAGCCAGAGTCGCGTTAATTATATGCAGGTATATGCATTAATCAATTTTAACTACATCTATGAATATGTATTAATCGATCGTGACTGTATTACATGAATACGCATTAATTAATCTAGATTACCATATTTTCACCCCTATTTAAAAAATATGTAAGCCTCTTTTTCTACTATAATTTACGAGCGTACTAACTGCGAATTAGATATTGAGTAAAAATATTCCACTGTAATAAAATCTTTGATAAGAAAGTGTACCATTTTGAATTTATATTTAAGCTACATTTGAGTTCTACTTATCTTTAATATACTTTATCCATAAACATGTTACTTTGTATAATATCATCCATAAAATATTCATACTTTTTGCTAAACATATCAATTATTTTCTTTCAATCTTACTGACCACAACAGGAAATAGAACGTTCAGAATCTTTCATACTCTTCCACTTTCAAACTTTCTGCCAACATTCACATTAATGTTGCATCAAACCAATCAGCAATTTACTTCAGCATACTTTCATAAGCACAATAGAAAATCTACACTCTCCCATGCTCTTCAAAGAAATCCTGTTTCAACATTATTTTCACAGTGACATGAAAATTAACAAGAATCTCTCAAATACACAAGTTCCTGAAAACAATATTCAATTATATATTTTAAACCCGTGGAAGATAAAATTATAGTAATTGTATACCGATCTATTCCAAATACTTCACATGAACGAAAATTTACCATTTCCGTCTTTCAAATGACAATCCTCCCCAGTAATCAACAAAATCGTTAATTATCGTTTAAATTTTCCATTTCTCTGCTTTTCAAATGACCCACTCAAATGATCAACACAATCGTTAACTGTCCTTCAAATTTTCCATTTCTCTGCTTTTCAAATAACGATCCGTACAAATGATCAACAGAATCGTTAATTACCGTTTAAATTTTCCATTTCTCTGCTTTTCAAAATAACGATCCACACAAATGATCAACAGAATCGTCAACTACCCTTCAAAAAATTTTCCATTTCTCCGCTTTTCAAAGAACGATCCGCACAAATGATCAACAGACTCGTTAACTATCGTTTAAATTTGCCAGTTCTTTGTCTTTCAAATAACAATCCACACAAATGCTCTACAAAATCGTGAACTATCCATCAAATTCGCCATATCTCTCTCTCTCAAAAAGCACTTAAATCACGGAAAGATACATTTCACGTTAAAGTTGATGCTCTTATCAGGTGTCCCTAATTATGAGATATTGTTCGACCACGGATTCCTCCGAGCGTGTACGGATTTAACGAGCGTTGTAAGTAGGTATTGTACTGCAAGTTTCTCTGACGACCCTATCTCGCTCCCTGGAGGCCACTCACTCACGAGCAGAATTTTAACCTGTACAATTCGGTTCTCTCGACCAGTCGCCGTCTTTGAGTCGCTTACAACGCGTCGTACGCCGTGCGTGCCGGCGATCTTCTATCAGCGCTTTCGCGCCCGTGATTTCAATACAGAACGTGCACCGTCCGTTCGCCGCCGTTAAACGTATTCCCGGTACTGTTATTCCCGAAGAGAGAGCGCGTTTCGTGAAACAATCATCGTCCACCTGTTACTCGGCCAAGTGATCTTCAAAAAGAAAGAAAAAAATAACATTCTTCTCGACGCATCATGATCGTTCTACGAACGCTAAAACTTCCAGTGAAAATCGCACAAATTTTCTATTCCATGTAGCGCGTTCCTCGAATCACGATCTCGGTGATTTGTGAATCGTCGGACTGTACTGTGAAATTATGAGATTTCGTTTCAATACTTTCATCGTAATTGATCCTAGTGTTTTAATACTATCAACGTACCGATCCGAGAGTGTTTCGGTAATTCCACCGTACCGATCCAAGTGGTTTTAATATAGAAACGTGTACTCGCGTTCCACATGTTCGAGGAAAGATCGAGAGAACCGACGGTAACCACTTCAACGCGAAGCAGTGCAGTGTGCTCCCGTCGTACGTGTGCGTTGCGCGTTTCCTCGGGATCGCTTTCGGTAGAATCGGACCGATATGAAGGGACGATCGGCGAGTGATCGACGCGCATTGCAATAGCGAGGCTCGCTTAGGAAATTCCTATATGGCATCCCCTCCGAACAAGTATTTCTTTCCGAACGAAGATGAAGAGACCCTCCTGCAGGACACCTTGCTCAGCAATGGTGGGTAAAGATGAGAATGGTAACACTCTAAACTCTCCCGTGTCGACTAAATATAATTTTTACTGGTTCGCTAACATCCGTTCCACTTCGTTGGTCGATGAGAATTCTTTCAAGTTGTCGCGGCACGAAGGTTTCGTCGGTCGTAAAAGCGTTAAAGGTCTCTTCGATTCTGTCGTTGGGCCATTAAATTTACATCGGTATCTCCGAAGATCGTTCTTTAATACGATCGCGCACGAATGGACTCGTGAATAACTTTATTGCCGCGACTTTGAAGATTGACGAAAAAAGAAAGAAGCAGCCGGAGAGAGATCCATTTAACCGGTGCTCGTAAACGCGGGACACGCGATTTAAAAATGGCAGGAAGAGATCTTTTGAGACGTGCCCCGTCCGCGTCGTCGTCACTCGTCCCTACGGTGCACGCTATGCCCAATTAAGGTGCCCCACTTTCGATCAATTATCTTTAAACCTCTGATCCATACGAATCGAACGATAAACGTTGAATTATGCCGCCGTAAACGGGAAAAGTGAGCTCTCGGCGGTCGCAATCTCGAGCGAGTCAACCCTTTGCGGCCGGGAGGCGAATTCTCTCGGTCGCCGTTCCATTCGACGCAGATCAATTGTAAAATTTCGAATTCGACGTTCGATTCTCCGTGAGGTATCAACCTATAACGTAGAATTCAAATTGCTTTGTCTTTTAAAACTTAGCCAACCGAATGGACCTCCCACATTTCTCACTTTGCAACGCGCTATTTGTTTCTTTCGTGGTTTAAGTCTTGAACTGGGGATACTTGCAATTTAATACCTTTCTTGCTTTCGTAAATAACTTAGAATCAAACCTTTTGTGCGAGATTCATTAAAGTTAGGTTATAGTTCTTTTAGGCGGTTGCCTAAGTGTTGGTCTATGCAAGATTTTATATTTGTTACAAATGACGTTATCGATGTCTTATTGGAAGATAGGGAATATTTGTAATGAAAAGTATTGCCACTTTTCTATCGGATCGTTGAGTTGCATTGGTAACTTTACTTAGGGAACATCCTTTCTATTCATTCTATTCCAAAGTCGCTCGTGAAGGATTTATTATAAGTAAAATTGTGGACAAAATCGTGGGTGTTAGTGTAGCGCTAAAAAACGAATTTACATGAATTAAAGCACTCGATTAGCGAGGTAAAGTACTGACATAAGTTAATTTTATTATGCGTACCCGTTCAATCGAACAATTCAATTACATCGGTTCGATTGTATCGAGACGTATAATTTTATTCGATAAAACATTGACGACTCTTCTTATCAGTGGCGTACTGGAATCAATCTTCGTTCCGAATTAGAAATTAAAAGCTACGGGTGGATTCACTCGGCAAACGAGTCTTAATTGCCAGTTCAATAAGTCTTGATCCATTGACCCATATTTATCGTGACGATCTAGGTTATCCGGTTCTTAACGAGCCTTCCTTTTATTATTATCAAGATATCGATTAATTGCTTAAGTAATAAAAGCGTATGTTGCCGATCAAGCTTCTCAATTGACAACTCTGTTGCTCCGAAGTGAATTAATCTTCTACATGTCAACAAGCATAAAATTATTCGTTTTTCAGAATTTTCCAATTTCCCCTGAAAATACGTACACTGAGAAAACATGTAAACGTTGGTACCTCCTCTGTTTCAGGGAACACGGATTACGACATTTTGGATGAGAAATCACCGTTCGAAGAAACTTCTGGTATAGACGATGACATAGATTTTCTGACAGCGGTAGGTCGATTTTTAATATTTTTATTATCCAACCGACTATTCTTTGTCTTCGAGTTACTCAAAGTTTTCAATCTTAATTCATACGTTGAATCTGGAAACCTAGTCTTTAGAAAATGATCATTGGCGATGGAATGTCATTATATAAATTTACATTATGTAAGTAAATTATTCAAATAACGCATTATTCGAACAGATGTAATTAATATACCGTGAACAATGAATATTTATTATCTGTATAAAATATTAGAATAGGAATTCAGTTGTCTAATCATCTTAGAGAAATCTTGATCAGGAACTATTTCGAATAATGATCCATCATTATGATCTGATTCCTGCCTCACGGGATGTACTGAAAATCCATTGTTCCGCGATGCGGACGATAAATCTAATCTAATCTAGTAGTAGTCGTAGGTGCAACGCTTTAAAGATAAATAACGCAAAAATGTTGTGTACGTATCGTTATCTCGATTCTTGCTAGCTGCAATCAAAGATAACAGTCTTGAAAACAGCGATTCACTTCGTATTGTTGAAGACAAAACAAGAGGCAATCGAAATTGCACGTCCGTCGCTTACATCTCTCTCGAGACGTGTTGAAAGCACTTATATTTCAGAAAAATAAGTAATACGATAACACTATTTAGCTGCAAGAGCTTTTTCTTTCATCTTGTCTTCGTGTGGTGTCCCGTTTTATTCTTACTTCGTATGGAGTCCTTTTCGCTTCTTTCCTTTTGATTTATTAAGAATTTAATAATAATTTTAATAGTAAATAGTTCCTTTAAACAATGCCAACGAATAGTATTCTCAATAGTTGATATAGATGCAGTCTTTCTAGAATTGTTTACTTAAAATATTTTAGCATCTGCCTCATTCTCACGTTTCACTTCTTACAGAAACTTTTTGTTCGACCTCTTCAATTGAATTCACGGCAATTAATATTCCTGCGAACCTCCTTATCACATCTCTCTTCTTTTCCACGTGTAATTTTGCATTCCAGCTCCTTATCATTTCCAATACAATGTAACGCAGAACATGTTTCCATTACCTTATAAACTTTTATCTTCCACGCTCATTAATATCTTCGTATCGTTTATCAAACTTCAACTACCCTTTTCAATGTTAACACGGAGAGAACCAATTTTTATGGGAAAACAAGATAAGCGTGGAAAGCAATTCAGAAGACCCCTAATGTATCTATAGCAGTGGCTCGCATCCTGAGGTGACAACACCAAGCATATTGTAGTATGCAAAGAAAATTATACAATGAAACAAAAGAACACGTTTGTGAGAAGAGTGTAATGAAATATAAACAATTGTTTTACAAAGGATTTTTTGTTACTTACAAATATCATAATTCTAGTTAATCAGTACAGCATATATTAGTAAGCTAAATTCGGTTTTACATTTAAAACTGGCATATCTTGCGTCTGTTGGCTGTAATTTGAAAACACATAACACCCATATCGGAAATGTTTCATAATCAAAAGGAACACTGGGACACTAATAATATCAATAACACACCAAAGGTACACAATTCAAAGGAATTGTCAAGTGTGACACACAAGCGAGTGAAAGTTGAGAAACGCTGTTCTGTAGCAGGAGTGTAAAGCCGAGGAAGCTTCAATATATATCGATTGTCAACTAACGCAGCGGATTAAACGGTCACTGAAACGAAAGGATAGAATAGAAAAAAATCGATCAGTCAGTCCGTCCTCTTCTCACGGAGTTTAAACCCGCAATTAACCCCTTCGCCGCGCTAGTAGAAAACACGTGTGTAGTTCCCAACATCACAATCGCGAGTCACGTGAAAAATTCATCGGATGTTTTGATTGAAGTTCCTCGGAAGGAGGAACAATAAAGGATTACACACGGTGAACTATAGAGCAATTACCTAACCAATTACCGATCAAATATGAATCCCATCAACTATTAATGGCTTGACTACGCGAACCGTGAAGGAAAGACCGAGGAGAATTGCACGTTATTTCAGATCATTTTCTCTCTCGTTCACAATGACATAGGCTACACCGTGCTTTTCTTGCTGTCATTCTCGATACCGTCTATAGACAGGGAATAAAGAAAGCTGCTGTCTATAGACGGTCTATGGGCACAGGCGAAGCGCAGCCAGAAAAGCCGGATGAGAGAGAGAAGGAAAGAAAAACAATGCTACAAGAATGGATTTCGTTCGAAGAAAGTTTTAAACAACTTCGGTATTACACATTATTAACTGATTATTAGACATAACATTAGTTGTTTGAATTTGTGAAAGATTGGTTTTCTCTATATTCCACTATGAAAATTGATGTTCAAGTTTGGCCAAGGGAATGTATTCATATATGACTCACGCGGTGAAAGTGTTAAACACAATGTAACGGTTCACGACTACGGACTTCTCCATAAATTGCAATAAGAATCGTGATTCTACGAGTCATCTCGGGGGATTAGAGAAATTTATAGTTAATTCTTTCCGAGATACTGGAAAATTATTACGCTGGCTTTCTTGCGCAAAGATTAAGTTCGCTAGTAAGCTTCCAGGGAAAATATCAAATCGTATCTTTACGATGAATTCTCTTTTTTTTTATGAACACCTGTTAACGTTAATTAATTAATCGGAATCTTTGCTCGGAGTGGGAGGATCGAGGTGATGGATTTTTAGCGTTGATTTCCGTTGTTTCCAAGGCTTCGTGTGAAGGCGTCTCATTAGAATTCTAACATCATGATCGATTTTACGGGCCAAGCGCTACTTTTCATGCATAGCGTATGAACTATCGACAACTGGCCAGCTGAATAATTGTTATTCTCGCTACTCGGTTCTAGTGTCTACCAACATTGAAACGTTTACTAATAGGGTGATTTGAGATTTTAAAGGAATGTTAAAATAAATTAAGGATATTCATTTTCGTTGGCGCTAAACAATCAATTAAGTAATTTTCTTAATTTTCTTAATTTCCTCTCTGTTCAAATCCAAGATATTTCTAGTATTAACATTTCGTATCTGTCCATGAATAAATATGAACGTGTTGAATTAGAGCCTTATCTTCGTTTTCTTTTTTCATCTTTAAAGATTAAATGAAATTTAGTATTCCGTGTTGATCTTCTAGAGATTCGAATTGAAAATATTTCGCACGAACCGTATCGTGATTATCTTTATTCACGTTATTTACGGATTTCATATAATTTTATAAGAATTTCGAAGAACGAACTGTTCTAATGAACGTTTTTAATAAACATTTCGCATGGACCGTATCGTGATTATTTTATTTATGTAACTCATGGATTCCACAACAAAATTTTATAATTTCGAAGAATGAACATTGAACAAATTTTAAAGAGATTTTCCTAAGGATATCTTGATCTTCTGAATCAGTTTTTCTTGACACGAAACCTAGGCGTTAGTAGTTCTCCATTCTCTAAAGCGAAGTGGGAGAATGACTTGAAAGAATGAGGATAAAGATCCATTTCCCTGAACAAAATCCATAGTTCCTTTTTCCATGTCACTGATAAGTTTTTAATCGCACTGTTTTAAGAGCTTTGATTTTCCGTCGGTTTCGCTTTCGAAACGTTGTCGATTCACCGCGGTATCGATCCTCGGCAAAAATCACGATGATATCGTATATTTATATCGATTCTGGTGACGTTTTATCGACTGTTTATAGAATTATCACTACCAATAACTATGTTGTCGACGAGTTCTCGGTTCCACAGAGTAGCTCTGTTATCGATAAAATCGAGAAAGGACAATCTCGCCGCGTGACGACGACCGATCAGTATCACGTCGGACGTTCGCGGATCCGTTTTCCGATTGCTGTGTACCGAAATCATTTGCGAATCAATTTCACTGTTCTGATAATGAAGTAGGACCTCGATTGACCTCTCGCTGGATATCGTGTTAGATTCGTAGTAAAAATTTCGAACGGAATTTGAACAGCAAAATTTACTCGATTCTTTTGAAAACAATTGAAACATTGTTCTTTTGTTATCAATTATACTTTATATCAAATGGACGTAGAAGATACCTAGATTCTTCCTTTTCTTTCAATAAATTAACAGTCGTGTCTATAGTCCAGATAGAAATTTGGGACAACACCTATTATCAAGGCAGCAGTCTATTATTCAATGTTCGTTAAATTAAACCTCGATAATTTATATCCTCACATTACACCCGGAAATGATTGAATTCGAATTTTACAAATCGAAAAACTTCTGGATTCGCCACTTGTCTCAACTGTTCGCCCAACTGAATCGGATAATCGAGGTTACTATTTTACAAATCATACTTCCAAAATTATGATCCAAGTTCTTTGAATTCATAGAATATCCAAAAAAATTCGCGGAACACTAAAGAACTCCGAATTTCGACAGTGACCAAACGTAACCGCAATTAACGATGTTTACATCAAGAGAACGGGTTTAATCAACGGAAAGTAATCTCGAGTGGCGAGGATCAATTCGATCAGTTTCTACAATCAACCCTGGTGCTTGTTCCCTACACGATAAATTATGCGTTATTCCTGATCGGTCGATTAAATTTGATTGAGTGGCACGCTCTCTCGACCGGGAGAAACTTCGAACGCGCGGTTCGGTTAATCGAATAAGGGATGATGGAGAAAAGGCAATCGACGCAACCGCGGATTTTCATCTGCCCCGCCATCGACTACACCCAGCAGGATGTGTGCAGGGAACCGACGAGGTCTTGGTACAACTGGATTTTGGACGTAATATGCGGCTCGGGTCAGAAAAAATGGCACGCCAGTGAAAGCAGAATGTACGTAAACGCGGCGCCTCCGTCGTTTGTGTTGACCGCACAGGTACGTGGTGCCGAACCGTCGAGAAAATTCAACACGGAAAAGTAATAATGCAACTCCGTCCATGATTTATGAGTAGAAAGTTTTTATGTGTTCTTTACCATCGATCAAATTTTGGGCCGGACCCGATGCCGATTTTGGAGAATGTTTCATCGTGTTACGAACGTTACGACCTGTCGCGAGGTTTCGAAATTTTGTTTCTTGAAAAATAAATTGAAATTTGTGTATTCTACCATCGATCCGATTTTTTATTCGATGGATCGACTTTGGAGAATGGCTTCGTTTCGTTACGTTATAATATTCTCGCGAGGTTTCGAAATTTTGTTTCTCAAAAAATGAATAGATCCTTTATGTATTTTACCATCGATCAATTTTTGAATGGTGTTCGAGGCTGATTTTAGGAAATATGTTTTGTCACGTTGTTAAAGTTGGTTTCGATATATACTGTTTCGTAAAAATACCATCCACTTGTGTCTCGTAATATAAGAACGCACTTTAGAATGTTTATTTCTAACGTCAAAAATACAATTTGAAAAAGCCACGTTTCTTCAGTGTCAAGGGAGATAATTTAATTTTGAGAGGCTACGTTTTAAGTAAGAATAATTTTTGCTTTCTTACTGTCAATTATTTCTACAGGATAATTGCTTTTCTTCACTCGGTGCTCAGCTCGTCCAATAATTTAAAGAAATGAAATCGAAACGACTCTAGGTATAACAATCGAAGATCAATTGTTGAAATAATTCACTGTTTCGTAGGTGAGAATGAACTATACATAAATCGAGAATAAATTTTATTTGGAATACAGAAATGTACAAAGAGCGTTTACAGATTCGAAATTTAGCTCCCGTTTCTAACGGGAAAACAGAGATATTTCAAGTTACCGAACAAAATTGAAAGGTAGGACGAGAAAACATGTCCCTGACGTCAGTTTATCATCATTGCACACGCGTATCCCGTGTTCGAGACGTGTTCGTAAACAACACTGACGATGATTCAGGATCATTTCAATATTGTTTGAACCCCGCTCCGGACTAGGAACGTTTCATGTGCTCAGAAGGGCGAATAAGAAGTGAGACGTCGTTATTTTCCAGTATTGTAAAAGGAAGAATTTAGTACAAATAATTTAAGCATTTTCTTTTGGAATTTGAACTTCAAAAGAGTGAATAAAAAGTGAAACATTATTATCTTTCCAATATGTTCATGAGAATAATATAACACAAATAATTTAAGCATCTTTTTTTAAATTTGAGCCTCAGAAGGGTTAATAAAAAGTGAAACATTATTTTTCCAGTAATTTCATGAGACTAATGTAATACAAATAATTTGACCATATTCTTTTTAAATTTGAGCTTCAGAAGGGTTAATAAAAAGTGAAACATTATTATTTTTCCAGTAATTTCATGAGACTAATGTAATACAAATAAATAATTTAAGCATGTTCTTTTTGAATTTGAGCCTCAGAAGGGTTAACAGAGCGAGACACTGTTGATTTTATATTCCAAACAAAAAAATATAATAATACGAATACTTTTAGGATGTCTTTTTAATTTGAATTGTTAACCATCGAGAAGTAATCAATATAACCGAGATCGTTGTAATTTCGTATTATTCAAACTTCATTTCTCAGCGAATTAACCAGCCAGCACCAAATTCGTTTGTCTATTTCAAGTAGCTTTAACATGTATAGGTTATTATATCAACGAGGACGCAGCTTTTCAAATCGGACACCGTAGTTAAGACGAATGAAAAGCTCGAGACCACAATATGGGAAGAATAAAAGTGTGAAGGAATCCCCGCGTGCTCGACGACGAGCTAAAGTTTATAAAACGACCCCGACAGCGGAACTATCTAATAACAGTGATCACTCAGAATTAGTAGGTCCTTACAATCGAATCAGAACGAATATGATCGAATTTAATTAATCTTTCATCGCGTAACTACTTTATGATTGTTCTACTTATACAAAGAAACTAGAAAGAAATCAAATAATAATGAATCCTGCTTCCGTTAATCAATCATTCGAAGAACAACGATTACACAGTGGATCTCTAAATTTCTTTACTCAGTAATGCGTTCATATTTTCTTGTAGCATGTACTTATTTCACTTCGTTTATAATTAGTCAGAAAAATAAAATTGAAGTTTGTACTTTGAGTAAAGAATCATTTTTACAGAATATCTTTCAAGGTAGTCAAAGTTTCAACTTCTCCCTTGGTTATCATTGAAGTATCAATTATTCTAATCATCTGCCTTGTATCAGTAGTACAATGTTCATACAGAATTAAAGAAACGAAATTAATCCTTTACAATACACCGATGAACGCATTAACATTAATGTCAAAAGAGCTGGTTCAATTTTGATGGTTCCAAACATTTTCAATTTTGATTTCAATCCATCAGTTCTCGAAAGAATCACCAAAAAATCACGTTGTCCGATCAAAAATGTTCCAAATCAGAATGGGAGATTCGTTTGCATCGGTAAACATTTTTTGTTACAGAAGGGGCCGCAGGATATCGACGCTTATCCGTTAACGAACAGTGTTCCTAGTCTCATCAAAGTAAGTAGGCCTAGTTGTTTCCGACCTATCGGCTCGCGATCGAACAAAACCGATAGATAATTCTGTTGACACACGTAAGATTTATCGTGGCATTTATTATTTCTTTCGTATCGAATCCCTCGAACGTCAGATATTGTTGGTCTTCCCCAAAGATGATCAGCAAATGGATATACTCGCTACCACTTCGAGGCGGTTGGGGTGGAGCGTGTCGGTGGCGAAGGACAGAGAAAAGGCGGTGGAGTTTTTCCAAAGTCGGGGTCACGAGCTAATAATCATCGATCATCGTGGGCAACGCGCCGCGGAAGCTGATTCGATTTGTAGGTATGGCCGGAAATTACTTTACAAATGCCCAGAACTTCACGCGTCAGTTTATTTGATGTATTCTTATGAATCGATGGACGAAAATTCGATTTTATTCGCGTACGACCGAAATTCTTGAAGGTATGGGTCGGAAATTGCGTTACAAATGTTCAGAAACTTAACGCATTTAGTTTGTTTGATATATTCTTATGAATCAATCGACAAATTTGTTATTTTATTTATGTACGACCCAAATTCTTGGAGGTATGACCGGAAATTATATAAATGTCCATAATTTAATTGAACTTTTGTGTTCTTAAATTGAGTACTATATATAATTGTTTTGATTTATTTACGAGTCAAAGAATGTTTGACGAAAGAGACGCGTTTCTATTGAATCAGCAATTTTCCGAGATAATAGTAAAAAGAAATGTTTCGATTGTGATGTTTGTTTGAATATTATTTTCAATAGGAACTTATCAATGAGTCCGAAAACGATTTTGATTTCAGGGCGATTAGGTCTAGTCCCGTTTACCACAATTCCGTTATCATAGCTCTAGTAAAAAAATCGTAAGTTAATTTGTTCTTTAAAACAATTCTTATTGTTTACACGTTTCGATATCGTTTGGAATGTTTATTCTCGTGGGCTTCGACAGGTACTTCATGTATGGCGAGAAAGATAAAATCGTGGCACTGGACTTGTTAGAAACAGGGTTTAACAGAGTAAGTTATTGGCATCTCTATAATCTGTGGAAGACGTTGATTGAACGGCAATTATCTTTTGTTTCTTTTTAAACTCATACTGATTGAAGTAAGATTGAATACAATGCATTTGCAGAGAACATTATTGAAGCCACCGTTAAACTTTGCAACAATTTTGTAGCCCAACCTTTGGTCAAAGTAGAAACTTTATAGTGTAACTTTAATTTTTGTCAAAATAGAAACTTTATAGTGTAACTTCAGTTTTTGTCAAAATAGAAACTTTATAGTGCAACCTTTAATTTTTGTCAAAATAGAAACTTTATAGTGTAACTTCACTTTTCTTCATTAATGGATTCTTATTCATTTAATGGAAGAATCTTGATTTCCTTTACTGTTTCGTACGTTTCAGGCACTGATGGAGTGCTCCCACGAGGGAATATTGATAAACGAATTGGTAGGGATATACACGAGCGCGTTGCTGCCAAGGACTCAGCTCGCGGCTGCCAATGCACTGTATCTGGCTCTTGATAGATGCCGCGATATGGTACATGTAACCAACGATAAGCACATTGTACAGGTAACGTGAGTAATTGTGAAATTATTGATTGCTATCAGTATTACTTCCATCGGCGAAATAAATTCCATACCTCATACGTCGAGTACTCATTGCAACTAATTGCAAGTATTATCAGAAATACATAATATTTTCAAGTTTAGAACATCTGTTCCAATTACGTTCAAGTGTTAAAATTCTCGATTACAACACGGTCTAGACTGTATTAACAATCACCATTACTGCTGAATATACTCAATGTAATATAAATCGAAGTCCCAATCATTTATTAGAGAAATACTTGTTATTGTCGTCTCTCATCTTCGATTAATTTTTACTTTAAGATTGACATCTATGTACATCTTTTCTGTGAAACATCTTATACGAACTCTGACTCTACGTATTCACTGGTACTACTGTCGATCACATTTTCTGTGAGTTCATGTAAATTCAGTTGAACGCTATCGTTCATTCTCCGACACGTTCGTCTTAATAGAATAAATATTAATTATAATTATTTTAGATTCCTTATGAATATATCATTGTAGAATATTTCTCTCGTTAGCGAATGAAACCATACACTGAACTACGAACTATTCGAATTTTAATTACTTCCGACACAGTAAATCTCTGTTTTAATTTATTACAGTTTGTTAATAAAATCAGCGAGAAGTTATTAGGCTATAAGACGACCGACATGTTGGGTAAGAGCATCGGGGAGTTGGTGCACTACGAGAACTTCGTGGTCATGGAACAACAGATCAGCAAGGGGCGCGAGTTCGAGGGGAACATGAATTGCAGACGACAGAACAATCAAATGATCACTATCAACTGCAGGGTGATACCTTTCTGCACGACGTTAAAGTGAGTCAGCTCAATTTCCCTTCGGTAATTAATCCACTGTAATCGAACAGCCGTGTTTTTCTCACTCTCGGATAATTTGTTTGTTTTTTTTCTTTTTCGTAACTTTTGTTCAGGAAACCGACTCATTACATATACATATATGACACGACCTACTTGTCGGAGAACATCGACCCGCTGAGTTCAATGAGTCCACTGCCCAGCCCTTTGCAACCACCCTTCTCGAAAGTGGGTCCTTTAACTACAACGCCAAGGAGGCCTTCGGATGTTAAATCCAACGCCACCGAGGGTGATCCAATTTTGACTTAGTTCTATATGTTACTTAACCCTTTAAGCCCTAACAAATTTGTCTGATTTTTTCCCTTTATGTGATCATATTTCTAAATACTTCAAGAATATTCAAGTAACTATACTTTTATTTAACCCTTTTTAAGCCTTAAAATGTTGTCTTGTTTCTTTCATGTGATCATATTTCTAAATATTTTAAAAATATTCGAGTAACAACCAGTGTTCAGCGCGAACTTTTTTTCTATACTTTTACTTAACCCTTAAGCTATAAAATTTTGTCTCATTTATTTCTTTCATGTGATCATATTTCTAAATATTTCAAGAATATTCAAGTAACAGGTGTTCCAGCGCGAATCTTTTTTCTATACTTTTACCTAACCCTTAAGCCATAAAATTTTGTCTCATTTATTTCTTATATGCGATCGTATTTCTAAATATTTTTAAAATATTCAAGTAACACCGGTGTTCAGCGCGAACCTTTTTTCTATACTTTTACTTAACCCTTAAGCCATAAAATGTCTGAATTGTTTCTTTCATGTGATCATATTTGTAAATATTTTAAAAGTATTCAAGTAATAGGTGTTCCAGAGCGAACCTCTTTTTCTATACTTTTACTTAACCCTTAGACCTTAAAATTTTGTCTCATTTATTTCTTATATGCGATCATATTTCTAAATATTTCAAGAATATTCAAGTAACACGGGAGTTCAGCGTGAACTATTTTTCTATTTTATAGTTTTACTTAGTCCTTTAAACCTTCAAATTTAATTTTTTTCGTTTATGTCAATGTGTTTCTAAATGCTTCAGGAATATTCAATTTACACACGTATCTTGCATGATCATTTTTTCTATACTTAACCCTTTTTGAACCTTAAAATTTAAGCTTACAATCTAAGCACATTTAGGCCATAGCAGTATTTTAATCGAATTGTTCGAGCTTCGAAGCAATCAAATATTTTCTTTCGAGGCGGATAAAAAACTACTCTTTTTATAATGAAATTTCAGTATCCAACGGAATATTACTTCGACTTTCATAGTATTTCACATTCAAATTTAGACGTATTAAAGACATTATAGAATTCTATTGTTAATTCCTTAGACTGTTGCTTTCTTAAATTGATAAATACTTCGAGAGCTAGAATCTAGGTTATCGGAAACGTCTATCAACGATTGCAAACATATCGAACAAGTAATCAGAGAATTTTTATAGTTTAACCGGTATCGACCAACAATCGAAAGATAAAGACATAAGATTCTCAAGTGTAACCTGTTTGCAGTATTTGAAAATTGTGTTTTGAATTTAGGCCGCAGGCGGTCCAGTTTGCAGAAGTTGCACGCGTTGCAATTAGAGGCGCCTATAACGAAAGTCATCACCCTCCTATCGAACGCCATTACGGAAGCCACAAGTGCCGAGACAGCAGCGCAGATCGACAAAGTAAGGTTTTCGTATTTATTTAAAAAAGCAAGACGTAATCATTAAACAAACCCTTTGTTTCAGCTTTTAATTCAAAATCAATTTGTACTATATTTTTCCTACAATCACTTTCAAAAACATCAGAATTTTTTTAAATATACTCTACACATTTCTGAAGTTTACAATTTTTGTATTACTTGCAACGTCGAACTTCAATTATTCTCTTACAAAACCTCGGTACTTTAAATCATTTCTTTATGCCCTTTCAAATAATGTTTCTCATTTTACCACTAACATTTCACTAAAAGCTAGTCACCTCAGGAATCATTGAAATAGTGCTTTACTTTCTGAAATGAATAATATTACAGTCACCTGCAGGTGTAAATAATATGCACGAACTTTGATTATTATTTCAGGCAATAGAAATGCTCAAAACCACGGAACTGTACGTGCCATATCTTAAAGATGACAGGAATTACAACGACCCCGTAGCGTCAGATCTGCTTGGTGCTTTGCTTTCTGTAAGAATTTCTCATTTTTCTCTACTTAACCCATTCGCCCAGAATAACGTGTCAAATTCGTATGCATTTCAAAATTCTACCGTGGTGTATTAATAATCATTGATACATCATATTTTTCGTTTTCCTCTGTGATACCGTATTTCCAGTTTCTAAGTATTCTTTGAATTTTTACACTGCATCGTCTACGCGCATCTTGTCCACGAAATTTAAAAACCGACTGCTACGCGAATGAGTCAACCCTTTACAGTTAAAAGTGGTCACCAAATATAACATTTTCCGACGAGATATAGACATTTTATGGAACGAAGCAATGAGAAAACATAAGCTAAATAAGGAAGTTTTGTTTCAATATTTCACACATTGATGCATCATACGAAATTTGATATTATAAAATTTTATAATTTTTTATACCGAATTAAGTGGCGAGTGAGTCACCTCTCGAGTGCAGAGGGTTAAAACAAATTTCAACGTTCATAAATGTATTCTATTAAATGGAAACGCAGTCACCGAGACGAACATGGGAATCCAGAAGATCCTCCGCGGAATCGACGCGGTTGTCGACTCTACGAGCGGTCACGACAGCGCCGAGCAGTTCGCGTATGCAGATCAAAGGATTCAGGGGACCTCAAGAGATCGCGGAGATACTCGAAAGATCTATGGAATGGAATTTCGACATATTCAAGCTCGAAGTTCTAACAGAGAAAAGGTAATCTTTGTGAAAGTAACATTTCTTACTAAATTCCTGTGGCGTTGGATTTAAGCGAAAGTAGCGGCAAATTGATCTCAACTTCAGAACCGTTGATCTTCTTCATTTTTCGAGCACACCGTCGTATTTACAAATTTAAACTTTATTCAAAGCTTGATCAGATTAACACTAACTGCCACGTCACCCGGATACGGGTGACATTTTTAACGTAATCTTGAATTCATTTTCTTGGTTACGTATCGAACTAAGTTTTATTGAATGTGTGAGATATAAGTAGTAAAGTAATCGTTAAGAATCTTGCCTCTTTAGTTTTTGCTTTAAGAAAACTGTTTCGATTGCATGGTAGTTTTGATGGTTTACTTGGCAGTCGAAGCGTTAAAAAAGATATTTCCTTTTATGCAGCAGACCACCCTAATTATAGCTAGAGTTTTCTTCAGAATTTTATCGGATTAGAATATTGTTTTCAAAGAGCATGTACTATTTCTTCGGAATTTTAGCAGATTAAAAGATGTTTTCAGATTTCATTGAAGTATCTATCAGTTTCCCTTCCTTATTTTTAATCCCCATTGGTTTTAGGCCGCTGCTTTTCCTGGGGATGACGATCATGAATCTTTACCGAGTGCCAGCAAGATTAGGCTGCGACGAGAAAATCGTACAGAACTGGCTGGCCGTGATCGAGATGAACTACAGATCTCAAAACAGTTATCACAATTCAACTCATGCCGCGGACGTCCTTCAAGCAACCGCCAGATTTATGCAGTCGGAGAGACTCAAGCAAATTCTGGAACCTCTGGACGAGGTCTCGGCTCTACTCGCGTCTGCTGCTCATGACGTAGATCATCCGGGCAAATCAAGGTAAACTCAGAATTTAATTTCCCTCTTGTAGCGTGACTACAGATACTGGATATTTCTTTCTAATTTTACATCTGGTGCCAGGCGGAATAAAATTTTCGTCCGAACAAAATTCGTAACATTGAAAATAGAATAGACTGACATTTTTGTTGTCTACAGTTCCACCGAACGAATTTACATCGTAACTTTATAATAAATATCATTGAATTGTTGACTTAAGTTTCATTTTTGAAATTTCAACTGCAACAGTAAATTGATTTTATATTTGAAATCGAACTGATCTGAGAAGAAAGGTATCACTGATGATGTAAGTAATTAATATTCGACAGAAGTATTCATTTATTTCATTGAACAGTGAACTTACTTTGCTAAACTGGTTACAAAATAATCGTATTCCGAAAATAGTCTGTAAAAACTCGTTCCAGCCAGTTTCTTTGCAACGCCGACAACAAATTGGCAATACTTTATAACGATATATCTGTGCTTGAGTCACACCATGCAGCTCTGACGTTTAAGTTAACATTATCCGACGACAACGTGAATATCTTTAAGGTGAGTCGAATAGAATAGATTTAGAGTTCATTTGCTTGGAAATAGAAAAATGTATATAGTAAGGTGTATACTTGTGTTCTAGAATTTGGAACGAGATACGTACAAGCATGTTCGTCAGACAGTGGTGGACATGATCTTAGCAACAGAGATGACAAAACACTTCGAACACTTGGCCAAGTTCATGAACATTTGCAGCTTGAAGGTTGGAGACCCAGCAGATGTACGAATCACTAATACTTTTTTAACAACTTACTACTTTTCTATTAATCCCCTCGAGTAATTTTACCGTTTACACAGTTACGTGCTCTTAGGTGTGTACCAAAATAGTTCTCGTATTTCGTAAAATAATCTTTCTTCCGATAACTATACAACTTTCTATCGTTCTTAACCTTAACATCAACTAACTTATGTTTTACTTCATAAGGATTATTTCGCTCTTAAACTTGTAAATTTCATGTATTTACTAAAATACTATTAACTTTTCCTTTCCTTAGAAAAATGTATCTTTTTCCGGTTGTTTCTCGTATAAACTATGTTAGATTTCGATAGTGATCGAAAATTTGATGAGTCATCTGATGTTTGAATGTTTCTTATAGTTTTATTGAAACCAGAACGAAGAAAGTAAATGTTTTAGGTAGAAAACTCTTAATACTCAGTGTAGTACTGTATACCGTGTTTTTAAATCGGTAATACTATTTGAAGTTCCTTAAAACGTTGAATGCCGCACCATTTTAAGGTGCAGAATAAGCGAAATGAAAAAACTACAATATTAACCCCTTTGCCGTACAATGACGAGTGAGACTCGTGATGAAGATTTCTAAACTAATTTAACAAGAATCAATGTTGTTCATTACTCACGGATCAAAGCAAATAACTATTTTGCTATTATAAATGTATTGTCTTCAAATGAAATTTCCACCTGAAGTAGAATGGAAAATTTTGTTGTATTTCTTACAAATTGTCGATAGTAAAATATTACGAGCTTTGTAACGGAAGTAGTACGCCAAGGGGTTAAATGATTTCATTGAATTGCGCTGTTATCGCAGGTTTTGCTGAATGTCCCTGAATTAGAGTTAGCGTTATTTATAATATAGGAATGTTTTCATATAATCATTTAATTGAATTACAGCGACTGAAATTTGGGCGGGGGTCACCGATGACCCCCCCATACGGCATTCAATGTGTTAAAGTAGTTTTTAGCAGTCCAATAGAATTTCTAACATTAATTTCAAAGAATTGGAAATTTAAATGCAGGGATACATCGACTCCCTGGACATGTCCGTAGTGTTGCAACCGGAGAACGTAGCACTGGTCAAACGGATGATGATCAAATGCGCGGATGTGTCGAACCCGACCAGACCAATGAAATGCTGTATCGAATGGACCAGGCGAATAGCCGAGGAGTACTTTAGTCAGGTAGAATTTCACTTACTTGAAAATATTGTGTAGTCATCCCTGGAGCATCCTTTCATCAACTCATCTAATTTTTCCATGGTTATTATAATATACAATTGTTCGTATCAAGAATTAATCAAAATTGAACCCTTCATAATTTACTTCTGTCTACTGAAAAGTTTCGCTCAGCAACCTCGAACGTAATTTTTAATTAAAATTGTCTAATGATAAAGAACAGTGGTCAACTGCTAATGTAACTCTAGCAACTGTTGCAACTCAAAACTATGTATAGGAAGACTATTTTTCTTGTACAATGTAAAGTAATCAATCTTAGAATTTCCGATTAACAAATATTCAGTGAAAGTAACACGTTACTCAAGAATATTTCATCACTGTCAAAACGAGATTGAATTGTACAAACCATTTTCTAAGATCTTCGATCGTCCTTTCAGACCGACGAGGAGAAAAGATTAAAACTGCCCGTTCTGATGCCAATGTTCGACAGGTTAACGTGCTCGATTCCGAAATCACAAATCGGTTTCATCGATTTCATCATCAACGACATGATCGAAGCCTGGGATGGTTAGTATCTGGATTATTTATTTTCTTTGTTTGTTATTTTTATTATTTCTTTACAAGAGGGTTCTCTGATTTTCTAGCATTCATCGATATGCCGGAAATGGTCGGCCACATGAGACATAATTACGAGAAATGGAAAGAATACAATGTGAGTAACTTTTTCTAAAATATTCGAATCGTCACACATTGAATTTCTTTTACTTTCATATTTCTAATTTCCTTTGAAAATATTGGAATCATGTTACGTGTTTCTTTTCCTTTTATATTTTCAAACTGTCTTTCGAAATATTTAAGTAGTTTCTCACGCATTTCATTACTTCATGTTTTAACTGTTTTTGATTTAACGTTAATAGGAGAAGGGTATAACGACTCTACAAGACATCGAGAAAATACAACAGAATCCTGAACTGCATATATACAGATTCACGTGACCCATGGAATCTATTGGAAATTCTCCCAGCCCTCCCCCCCATTTTAACCCCTTTTATTCTCGTCCGTCCCTGAATCTTGAACGCTGCGAATTGTGCAACGATTTGTAAAATATTTGTAATATTTAATAGAGTAATATGACACGTCGTACGCTTGTAAGTTCTTTTTTTAGAAAATATACTGTAATTCATTCACGTTCGCTGCACAGTTACTCCAATTTTCCACCGTCTCCCCACCCTGTGTCGACGCCCACATTTCTCGAGGTCTAATTTTGAACTCGTGACAAGGCAATGTGAAAAGGCGCGTTGTATAAATACACTGTTTAGTCATTTTAGCTGTAGCTCGAATTTGAGTATCAGTCAGGTACTTTGTTTTATTATGACGTGGAAATTACACTAGAATATTTAAAATACTGCAAACTGTAATGTAATCCATTAGATTCAATCATACAATTGTGAATCAAATTTCCAATGTTACACATTTATTCATAGAATTTTAACCAAACCTTGCTATACTGGAGCAATCATTTTCAATTAACAGCTGCTTCGTTTAAATTAATTGAAGCTACAAGAAAGGTCCACTTACACAAGAGTCTATAATCTCGAAAATTCTTAATACAGAATAATTCAAAATATACAATTTGAACTGAATAAAGGTGTGCCTGTATTCTTAAAAAATGAACGTTTCTTACGTAGTAGTTTCAAAAAATTCATACATCGAATTTTCTTCTCTCCCTGTTATATACTTTCCAATCTACGTTCCCTGAAATCGTCGAAGATTTAAAGAAAATAATTAAAAATTCCTTCAGACTTACACTTTCACGTTCTCCGTATCCCCGAACTATCCTCTCCCGCTAGATCATCGTTTATCCTAAGATGGGACTGGTAATCTCGTTCGAATTGAAAAGAACTCATTTGATTACGGTAATGATTTTCATTTCACTTTATTGTTTCTCAGCCAAAAAGAGATGTGTGTGTGAGTGTACGAGCCTATCGCTAGGCGTTGCAGAAATGTTACACAGAATATGGAACAAGAGATGGTTTTTTTCGTGTTAAATGGGTAATGGTGTGTGTACGACGTATGTAATGATAATATTTATATATATAATCTATAATTTAATCTTTGGATCGGTAAAATTTCGTAGAATTTCACATATAATAAATGCTTTTTCAAAATGAAGAACACACGCTTCTTCTGTGGTTACACAGCTGATTTTTTTTCCTGAACGATACACGAATTTCCGTATTCATGAGCAACTGAACGACAAGAATAGAAAACAAACATTCAAAATGCTCTCGGATTTTGAAAACCGGTGTTCGTCGCATACAACGTAACGACGTTTCGTGTACGAAACTACTTGGTTGAGCGCAATGTCGGTGAGAAAGCCATTATATATCCATTTTTCCGTTACGAATAGTTACAAGAATCGGTACGAACTCGTTACTAAGTCACAGAGTACAAGTGGAGATTTTACACAAACCCGCTAAAAATTGTTTGGAGTTTCTTTTTTCCTTTTAAGTATATTATATCATATCGTTTGCACGTTTCTTGTTTCCTTCGTGCGTGAAACAGCACACACACAGAGAGGATTCGACGAAACGTCTCTCTCGAAATGTAGCGTCGGTTGTCAAACGCTATACCGAAATCGAAGTCGTTTTTATCCAGTAATCAAAGAGACACGTAGTTTTAAATAGTAATGTCTAACATTTCCAAAGCCTATCCTGACGACAGAAACGGACCGTTGTTGTTAGTTTTGCGTGCGTATCTTACTCTCGTTATAAAATGTAAACACTATATGAAACGTCCCTCTCCCTCCGCGGAGGGAGGGTGCCTGACACGTGCGGATATCGAACAGAAAAACACAACACAATTAAGAGGATACAATAAAATTTAGCGTTTATCGATTATTTGTAGTCAATATATAGACGAATTACGCGTTACCTAACCGTTAGCTTAAACGTTAAGCCTATAATTTATAATGCCGCACAGTAATATATTTAAATCTTCGTGTGTTAAAGAGAACTTAAAAGTAACAGTTACGCAACACGAGTACGTATAATATTAAAAAAGACGTGTAATAATAATATATACCCTGCGCTACTAGTAAAGTTGCTCCTCTCCTCACCAAAATGAAAACGCTATTCCCAGCTGTTCGAAATACAAGATACAGAAAACTCTAAAACCGTTCTTCGGTAATTATAAACGATAAACTCAGTGATAAAGTGAAAAAGTTATTGTCAAGCAACAGAGAATTCTCGATTATTACTCGCACTCGCCGCTAAATAGGAAGAAAATTCGCCAAGTAAACACGTATCAACTAGTTAGAATAACATACACTACAATTTTATAGTAAATCCTGCTGCACGTAAATAGTAGAGAT